TATGTAAGTCATTGAAATGATTTATCAATTCTTGTTGTATTGTGAATTTGTGTTGCAACTGACTATCAAGATTATTCTTTAAAACACGAGTATTATAACAATCCCCAGCAAGTAAAATTAAGCAAATATAGCTTGTTGAAAACCGTACTGCTATAAATTTCCCTGAGTGACAAAGGTTTTTTTTAGAGATTTTAATACCAGTTTATTCTATTAGTAAATTGTGGGGAAAAGCAACTCTTTGGAATATAAAGCACTTATATCACCATTAAAGTTTTTTACACCTGTATGTATTCCGCTTTCAGGTATGAATTTATCAAGAAAATATGGGATATCTGTACTAATGCACCTATCAATGTTAACCCCGAGGGAGGGGGGGTCGGGCAAGGGGTGGGGATTTGACATTTTTACAAAAAAAAATGTCAAATGCCACTCCCTCGGGAGAAAATTCCTGGGCAAAATTCCCCACCCCCGGGATGAAATTGTATGCCTGAGGTATTTGGTTTCTGGTCCACTCTATATGTCAGGTGATAGGGAAATTACACAAATACATTTGACGGTATAATTTAAAAGTATAACAAATATAAAGAACGTTTCAAAATAACTTAAAATACTCATTAATAATTCATATACCTTGCGGTAAACATGTCAGCCATATTATGTCACATGAAGTGAGTTTATAATATCTGATAAAACACTAGCCTGTGTTCCAGTCCGCTACACCACGGTGTATTCTTATATTGTCAGTATTCTTATATAATTGTTCGCCCTAATTAGTATTCTTTTGTAGTCGTATTTTAAGTTGTGTGCCTCGCGTTTTATATCTGATAAAACACACTCGTACTCGTGTTTTAAATAGTACATAATGTGAACTTTTAACATATAAGTATAAATCGATATTAATATAATTATAAAATGGCTTATAAGTGTTTATTTCTTGTCCAGAAATCTCCATATTTCTTGTAAAAACAACGCGCAAGACAGCGAGCGATAAACTAGTGCCCAGTCTTCAGTTTGTTCCTGACCGGCTTCCGCAGTCCCTTTTTACAGCGGGCTACTGGGGACGAGTCAGAGTTTGTTCTAAAATTGGCTCAGGTTTCTTCAGTATATCGTCTGAGATCAGTGTTAATCTGCCAAAAATCCCCACCCTCGGGCCACTTAGAAAAAAAGTGTCAGTCCAAATCCCGACCCATGGGACCACCTGATTGATCAAATCCCCACCCTTTGCCCGACCCCCGCCCCCTCGGGGTTAACATTGATAGGTGCATAAGTACCAGGTGGCAATGAAGAAAGTCAAGTGTATTTCTTTATAATGGTCTTCCTTGTAAAAGGCAATGGCACTATTTCATTGAACATTCAAGGAACAATCGCCTTTTAAAACAAATATGCACATTTTTATGCTCGAGTTACAATGTTTGATTTTGATATCTGCATTTTATGCGATTCATACCTTATTTTTAAGTGTTCCTCAAATATTGATTCAATACATTACCTCGGGCTGACCAATTCATTCCATCAAGATATTTGCTGTGTTGGTGTAATACATGTACTCAGGTGAATAAGATGCTTGTGTGATGTTACGTACTCTGAGTGGATATCCACACTGGGCAGCAGGGTGTTAGCCAGGAGGCCGTCCGACCGTCCTACGGACGGCCACTTCTAAATTTGGGCGGCTAAATTTTAATGGACGGCCTAAGGGAATATTTTCTTTAAATAGCAATTTACAAGCTTTGTGATGAAATGATTGAAATGTGCATCTAAAACTAAAAGTAAAAAGATTCAACGAATGGAACACCACAATTCCACAACAACAAAAAATTGCGGCCACGCCCAAAACCATGTGACCATGGCCACAAAAATTTGTGACCACGCTCACAAAATTATTTTGGACGGCCACTTTTGAAATCCTGGCTAACACCCTGCTGGGCAGGCTTGAAAAATATGCCTGGCCACAGTGGAATTTGAACCTACAACCTTTGGAATACTGGCCCAATGCTCTGCCAACTGAGCTATACAGTCGGGGCAGTTCGAGTATGCGATATTTCGGAACTGAGTCTAGTTCCTTCGATATCAGTGTAATCTAATAACCATGATATTTGTGAATATGATGCTTGTGTGATGTTACTCTGAGTGCATATCCACACCGGGCAAGCTTGAAAAATATGCCAAGCCACATTGGGATTCAAACCGACCTGACCACGTAGCTCAGTTGACAGAGCATTGGCATTTGGGCTAGTATTCCAAAGGTCGTAGGTTCAAATCCCACTGTGGCCAGGCATATTTTTCAAGCCTGCCCGGTGTGGATATACACTCAGAGTAACATCACACAAGCATCTCATTTCATCAAGTTCCTCCAGATATTCATACACTTCCTGTGAAAGAGCCAATTCCAATATTTAATCATTTCTGGTCACTTCCTTTCTATTTATGATTGGTTAGTTGCACAAACAACAAAGGTGATTGGTTAAACCATTTAACAGGAAGTTTACAATTATACTAGGAAGTGTATGAATATCTTGAGGAACTTAATCAAATGAATTGGTTAGCCCGAGGTAATGTATTGAATCAATATTTGAGGAACACTTCAATTGGAACGACAGTGAAGAATTATTAAAAAAAATATTTTATTCAAAAAAAGATTTTCCAAGATAATTATATAATTACATTTAGTAATAAGAATAAATAATATATTCAATTTCAAATCACAACAAAATTTATTCTTTATTTTTAAACACATACAACACCAATTTAATTAAATAAACTGCTCAACCAATTCTATGCATGTCAATCCCTACTTGATGGTCAGCACCTACAGTAATTATGCTAGCCTAATTTGTACACTAACACAAATGGTCAAAATAAATGTAAATGTAGCAATCTTGGCTTAGCTAAACAGACCAAAATGTGTACAAATAACTTAAAGTTGTTAGCAGAAAAATTAAGGAATAAATTTAACCCATTGAGTGGCAAAGCACCCTATTTTAGTATTTTACTCTGTCTAACGCCAGACAATTTTACTCGTCAAGGGGAGAGTGCTGGCGCTTAATGGGTTAATTACCCCTCGTGTACAGTATGACCATTAATTGTACTGATAATAAACTGTAAAGATCACAACCAAGCTGACCAAAGCAATCATTAAAGATTGTTGGTACAGCATATGGCTTTAACACTGGTCTCTGGCTGTAATCCTCCTCAAAGATATCAGCACTAAAATGCTTTGAACACAAACGACTATTTTTCATAGGAACAAACTTCACTGGCATAAGTTTGCTTATATTCTTCACCCATATGCCGTGCAATTCAGGGAATCTCTTCTCATCTGGAAAGCTTTGAAGTAAATGAACAATTGTTTTTAGTGTCTAGTTAATACACTGTTCAATACGATACCTATAACTTACAATATAAACAATGCCACACTAGACAACACATGGTTTAGTCCACAATAAAGACAACACAATGAGTGAAAGGCTTTGTACATTTAAAGCTAGTCGTATCTTTATCACATTGTTAAAATTCTCATTTGAAATTTTTTAACATAGCATTATCTGTTAGGATATCGATAGGATTTCATCACTGCATCACATCCAACAACTTGCATGAAAATAAATACTTGCTCGACAACAGCTCCACAAGCTTGTCAACATTTTAAAATTTTGTTCTGCTTTTGCACTGTAGTACACTAACATAAATTGTATTGTATGTTGCTTGCCAATAAATTTCATGAATTCACAAATTTACGCATTCAATACAGCAATACAGCATGCGTTAAATTATTACAAAAAAAAGAGATTATACGAGCCTTATGCATGTGAGGACAGGTCCTTTCTTTCAGTAGATTTTTGGCAACCAGGAATTGAACAAAAAGTTGGCATGGTTGCAAATGTCTCGTTTCAATATAGAAATTTCCGACCGAAATTTTGAATTTACTATTTTACTTCCTTCTGTTTTAAGCAAATTGAAATAGGCCATGGGCTGTTGGCCAAAATTATTTCGCTTCGTGGCACCCATGTGGGAAATACTTGGTTTGTGGTTTATTTAAAAGGCATATAGGTACATCACTGCCAAAAAAAGTTCCCAAGCAAAAAAGTTGCCCAATCCCGAGAAAATGGGTGATCAATGATTATCCTCTATTAAATTGTATTACAGCAAAAAAATGGGAAATTCTGTATTCAATTACAATAAAAATGACTTGCATCATCGGAAAGCGTACAAAAAACCGCATATAAGACTTTTGAACAGTTTTTTGATTTTTCAAATAGTCTTTGAGTTATTGCTGTTTTAAATGTGAAAATTGGACCAAAAACTCGCAATAAGGACTGGGTACTAGGTCAAAAACGCGTTTTTGACAGCGTATAACTCGAAAACAATTTTAGATATAAAAAAAACTGTTTAAATGTCTTATATGTAGGTTTTTGTAAGCTTTCTGATAATGCAAGTCATTTTTGTTGTAATTGAATACATAATTTTACATTTTCTTGCTGTAATACAATTTAATAGAGGATAATCACTGATCACCCATTTTCTCGGTGTTGGGCAAGTTTTTTGCTTGGGAACTTTTTGTGGTAATTAAGCATCTATGGTTCTATGAATTGAACCACAGAAAATCTATTTCCCAGGTGGGTGCCACGAAATTGCTTTTCTAGGCACTTTTTCGCACAACAGCCCACGGCCTAAAAGGGGGGTGTGAATAACTTTTTTCTTCACGTTAGTATTTTAGGTCAGTGGTGTTCAACATAAATTTAGGTCGATTGTGACGTCAAAATGACGTAAATTTGGCCAAAATCCGCCATGTTTTTGGCCACACATTTTTGACTGACGAGGTATTGGAGCACGATCTCCAGATATATTAAGTATAGCTCAGTGGCCTGACCACTGATGGGCCTTACGGCCATGCAGTGTAATAAGAGGCCAACTATAGCGAATCATTTTCACGTGTAGTAACGCTGTGCAGTTTCTTTACAATAGATATTATTCGTTGAAGGCCTTATTCAACGAGTTGAATGCTCATCGAGTCCAAGATGGCGGCCGGACGCCTCTTCCCATCACTCTTTGAAGGGCTTTTTCAACGAGTCCAAGATCGAATTGGGATACGAGATTAGGGATAAAATTGATAAGAACGTGATAAGAACATGTAGAGCACACGTGTACATGCAGACTAAGAGAGCACTACGTCCATATTATGTGTAATATTGTGTGTAATATTTCATTGAAAATTGGATTAATTTTGACTTTTAATGCATATTTTAGAACAATTGAAAATATTTTCTGGACACCGAAATTTCCATAGAATTTCCATCATTTTTCCATGTTTAAGAAAGTTCCATTTCTCTTCAAAAACTCCATCAAATTTGGAAATTTCTATGGAAGTGAAGCACCGATGCAGAGTCAGGCGCGATGGGTGGTACAGTGCACGGAAAATGGCGGAATTAGCAGGGGGTTGTTAGAACATGTTTTTTTGAAAATAAAATATTCGAACGCAAATGTATATACATGCATGATAAACCAGGAGCAACTATAGGCCCGATTCCTCAGATACAGTTGCCCAGGTTAGGTACAAAAACCCCAACATACAGCCATGTTCTATTACTGTAAAAATTCAACAAGATTATAATGTACGAAACATAAAAGAATACACCCTTCCGGAAAGTATGTCACTTTGGCTATAGAGCCTCGTTTTCGTATCTGACATCATCAGTTAAAGTCCACGTCTCAATCACGAAAACGAGACTCTATAGTCAAAGTGACGTACTTTCCGGAAGGGTGTATTGAAGACGTGTGTCCGTATGGTGAACGTATGATCTGATGGGTCTATACCACACTATACACTCTTTTGAAGCATAAATATATTTTGTGTGTGCATGGACATAACATGGAACTATAGTATTGTTATGCAAGCTACATGTACATTATATTTAAATATTCTGTTCATATTTTGCTCACAAAACGTTGTGTGCAATAGTATTTTTTAGTAATTAAAATATATATGGCTGAGAGTAAGCGAGTAATATATACGAGCGAAACATAAGATGAGATTTCCAACTAGTAACAAATATCATCAAACAATTTAACATTGCGGGAAGATGTAACCATAGATATCTTATATACACGAGATAGTGCATCTAATTATTCTGCAATTCAAAAATTGAAGTCGTGATTGCAGACTCAGAATATTCCCATGAAATGAGAAGATTCGTTTGTTTTCTATTTCTTAAACAGGGAACTTAAACATTAAGTTAAACCTATTCCAAATACATTTTCAAACTATTCAAATGATGAAAGTTATTGTTGTTTGTTAAGCGTTTATTAGTGAGTGGGAAACTCCAACATGGCCGCCATCTATTCAAATGGGGGTAACCGCTGGAATATTCTTGGCTTCAATTTTACTTAAAGAGATGCGCTATCTAGTGTATATAAGATACCTATGGATGTAACTCGAGACTAGATCCAAACTTGACTAGCAGACAATTTGATGGAGACAGTAGAATCCTGAAAGAAGCTACCCCTCTTTCCTGCTCCCCCTCCTTCCTGCTCCGAAAGTAGGGAGAAATTTGCGTAAAGCAATACGTAGCGTCGATGAA